GGAGCAGCCCCTCGGGCCGGCTCCGCAGAGCCCCGGCGCGGAGGGGAGCGCGGCCGCGGGCAGCCGCCGGGGAAGCGCGCAGGTTGGGCGGCGCTGAGCAAAGCGCTTAAGGGAATGATCTTCCGGAACCTTTTACCGAGCAACAGTTCAGCGCCCCGTGAATGAAGCTATTGGGAACACAGACAAACTAAACGGGTAGAGAAACGCAAGTCTGGAAACCAACACCGCTGTGAGGCAGGTACTCATTTACTGCGGCTGCAAGCTACAGAATTGGTCAAGGAGACTGCAATTTACCCAGAGGACGGCAACATTTTCCTTTTATTAATTTGCAATATATTTGTAAAATAATCTTACGGCAGCTGGGTCTGCTTGAATCTGTTTCAAAAGTGTGATGTAAATACCGTCTCACACTATTTTGTTGCCTATTAGGGCTTTCTGGTAGGTGATACGACAGAGTAAGGAGAAAGAACACCACACATTTATTTTTAAGATCATCATCACTAGTGATAAAACTTACGGGAAGAAGCGAGCACACTTGCTATCTGTATGCGTTAAAAACAAACGTATGCAAAGTAACTCAAATGAAGAAGATACAACTGGAAGACAACAGCGGGTACGATTTAGCGCATTTCCAAGAGCTGTTTCAGCTGTGTTTAAAAGGAGTAGCAAATTCCCAAATTAAATCACCCTATTTATGGCAAAGACAAAGAGCTCCACACCGCAGGAGGATGCAGTAAAGAAACGGGTTTTTTCCCACCTGTTTCCTTTGCAAAGGTTTAAGTATCTCTATCCATCCTTTGCCAGCAATCACGTATCTGAAGTAATTTAGCACGCAGTTGTTGTGAAATAATAGGAAGAGCGCAAACAATCGATCTGGGATTCATCACATTTGGATTTTTCAGCGGTAAACTTCTGAGATTCTCATCTCCACTCAGCAGATCAATATTTCAGATCAGAGTCAGAGGAAAATAAACACCACACCTAAGCACAGTATTTATCACTGGCCCACTCCCTGTCCACACACGTGGCTACAGCAGGCACCAATTTACACCCAACTTGTACAAGCAGTGTAACACTGAAATCCAAGAGGCAGTGACTGTAGGATCAAAGCTTTATTTCAACTGTAACACGGTATATCCATGGATTATAATCCTTGAGCAAACAGAATATTACAGTAATGAAGACCTTAGCATTACAAATATGTTAAAACAGCTTGCATTTGGGGTGATATTTAAGGTCATGTTGTATCTGAACACAACTATTAAAATATTATGAAAATTACCATTATGGAGTAAATAATGTTTTCTTTCAGATGTAACCTCTAAAAGCACATTCCATTTCAAATTTGGTTTTCTTATTTTTCAGTACGAACAAGCTCAAACTGAGCCTCTACATCCCTGACCTGCTCTATGTGAATGAAAAAGACAGAAATGAAGCACTATAAGCTCAGCCTAAAACCTAGCTCCCAACTTCTACGAAAACATGACCCTGAATAAATACAATCAAGAAGATACCATAGTAAGTGTCAAACATCATGTGCCTAAACCCTCTTATTATTTCATATGTATTTGCAAATGAAATTAATAGGCTTGAGAAAGATTCTGCAGAGTAAGAAATTTCTTATCCTGGGGAAAAGTAACATGCCTTCTGCTACTGCCCCCACAGCCAGAATAACCGAGAAAGTAAAAAGCTCCGGAATGTGATGGTAGAGGTGACAAGATGGGTGAACAGGCTGTGCTCCTGGGCTAGTGCTGTGGTTACTCATCTGTGCATAAACCTAAAAGGATGATTAATAATTTCTTCTTGTAAGATACTCAAAGATTAACTTACAAACAGGCAAAACCTTTGGTTTTTCTCACTGCTGTTCTCTCTATTGCTTTCCCCCACCCACCAGAAAAGCAAAAGAAGCAACAGGCTGATAGGACCACTGCAGCTTGTGTGAACATACATTCTAACAGGGCAAGCAGCAAGTCCAGAATGCAGAGTCACAGGTGACATTCTGAGGGAAAAACAGCGTTTACCCAAGACGGGCAGGAAATTACATAAGCTATATAGAATGCAATATACATAATACATATTTTATGCTTACATAAATACATATCAAAGCTTGGGATAAGATGGTGTATAACTACATAGGTATGTTTGAAGCAACAGCCTTGGCTTGGTGAAGCATACCCATTCAAGATCTCACTGAATGCTGACATTAAACCATACCAGTATCAATCACTTTGGGGGATTTCGAAATTTTTTTATTTTTTTTTTTTTAAACATACTCTGGTTTAACTAACATCTGCTTTCTCAAATTTGTATTTATTGGAGGGCACGTGGCAAGCTAGCTCAGCCACAGTAAATTACACCCAAGCGTGACAGGAGACACCACATAACTACGTCCCCGCCAGGGCTCGCCCCAAGGTCTGCACCAAAGCGGGCAGCACCCACTCGGGTACCCCAGGGGCCCTGCCGTGCGCCGCCCTGCCCGGCTGCTGTGCTGCCTTGGGTCATAGGCAACTGCAACGACTCATAGCAGGCCACAGGCCAACAGGAAGGCCCTTGTCTCTGAGAGCAGTCACCTGTTGCTTTTAAGAGTTTCTCTTCAGTTTATCCTTTTCTGGACACGTTCCTATGGAGTTTTGCACGCCCTGGTTGTCCCATTGCTTCTAAAACTATGCTGCAGGAAAAAAAAAAGTAATTTCCTTCTTTGAAAAAAAGATGATTTCATTTCAATCTTAATCTCTTTGCCCGAAACCAAAATAATCAGAAACACAGTATCTGAGCAGTTAATTGCGGCACAGAAACTACACTAGCACTGCTTGCACACTACAAAATCCTCACCCATCCAGCTGCCATGACCTCCTAGTCCACACACTTCGCTGTCCTTCCATGGGAAATCACAAGGGGCAAGGAGATGGTGAGCATCTGCATTGTGTCCCAGTGTTTAGGCAGAGTCGAAAGAGATAAAGACCCAGATTACTCACACTTAGGGGCCCAGATTTTAGTTTAAGTGATTTTCCTTTGGATGCAAAGACCAGGATGAATCCTACTCTTTGTCAGCAACTAACTGCTCACCCATCCCTTCATTTTGGGCATCCTGTGTAATAGCTTTTCCCTTGTCTGCTCAACTGATTCCAATTATTTGCTTTTAAAATGTGAGCCCTACGATTCCAAGATCCCTGCCCATTCCCGCTAAATCAGACTGAGAACCACATTGTGATCTTGCAGAAGAAAATATTACCAAGTTGTCTTTGTGACAGAACACCGAGTAGGTATAAAATTGCAATGGTCTCTATGCCAGGTTTTTTTTAAGCTCTCTGCTTGTAAGATGAAAGCCTAATTTGATATTTTTGTAGTTATATAACAGTTCTAATATTTTGTGACATTTTGTATTGTGACACTATAGATGAAATTGTCATCGGACTGACACCCTTTACTGTTTATTCCTTAATTACAACTGTTAACAACACTGCAGAGAAGCGTGCTAATCTGCCATCACATATTATGAAAACAACGTTATTGTTACAAACACCAACACCCACTCAACAGGATATTTCTAAGATGGCAGTTTCTGTAAAAACTTACCAGTTTAATGGACACTTCAATAGAAAAAGTTTTAAACGAACTCTTAATATTCCCATTGAAAACACACAACAATTTTATATCATAGCTGAAGTTTTGATTTTATTGTGTCAGTGATTCTTCATGCTATATAGAGATTTATTTTTTTTTTTAACAGGTGGGTGTACATCTACGTAGCACAGAGATGCATAGATCAGTGCACTAGTATCCCAGCAAAACCTGTATTCATTACACTTTTGTATCCTCAAACACTGGCAGAGGTAAATTTTTTTTTCTCTTACTTCCAGGTCGGAGGTGGAAGTACGTTGTTGCACATGAGATTAAATTTTAACAATACATTGACTCAAGCTCAGGTTCTTAATTAAAAAAAAAAAACAAACCCACAACATTTTTTTTCCCCCCCTAGGCTTGCTTTTCTTAGGAAGCATTACATTCCTGCAGGCCAAGTCACACAGCTGGAATGATCTTCCACTGAACTGGTGCTTTAAAAAGCACTGCACTAGAGCAGTGAAATCCCCATACCGAGTCAGCCACGGCACAATCAAAACTCACTGATACTGCACCTCCGCAGCAGGAAGCTGAGGAGCTGTTCAATGTCTGAAAATGAAAATATTATTTCCTCAGCTTCCATATATGCTTGCTTCTTGGACAGCCACTGCCAGCTACCTTTCAGTTTGCTTCTTTCAAACTTTTCTTGCCTATGCAAAGGTTCTCACTTGTAGGTTATGCAAACAGAAAGAAAATAGCACTAAGCAACCCAGAAGTAGCAAAAAAATCCTAGAGAGTTGTTTACTTTTTCTTGTCTTTACCCACCCATTAGAGAGGAAATACAAAGTAGGCAGCAGGAGGTTGGGAAAAGCAGCAGTGGTTACTGGAGTGAGGTGTAGAAGCGATGAAAGGGGCAACGACAAAAATCAGGGGAAACAAGATGCGGAGCTTCAAGGTGTTCCTTCTACAACTGCTCTCACGAAGGTTTTTATTTTTGGTGCTAAAATAAGGCGACTCTGATGCAAACAGCCTGCCTTTGCTGTTAACGGTAAATTCCTCCTGTCTCCCTCCCCACAGAGCGGCACACAGCACAGATGACTGCAGCGAAGAAAGATAATGCGCGAATCCGTCTTTACTTAACGCACTTATACGTAGAAGCAGAGGATTAAAAATAATCTAAAACTCTTCTCATACTGAAAAAGCAATTGCCTTGGTGGGTTTCTGTACACCAGTGTTTCCCACTTTTGATCCTAAAAGCCCCTTTGAGGACGGCTTCTCTAACGCAGAACAGAAATACAGAATTGTACACAACGCGACAACGGAAGCAAATTATCCAATATAGAACATTTTCATTGAAATGATTTGCATTACAATTTGATGGCATGATATCCTGTTGCCTGATCTGGGTGATCTTGTCTGCTTAAGCCATAAATTACAAAACAAAATGAAACTAGAAAGTTTATTTTTGTGAATCTTCTTCTGGGTAGCTTATGTTCTGTTTTGCAGTTTTCATTTTCTTAAAACCAACAGGGACTTCTGCTCTTCCTAAAAGAAACTGTTCCCACTTGGGAAGAGATTCTTTTATTGATGCCCAATAGAGAGTCTGAGAAAGATATAAGAAAAATAAACTTAATTTCAAAATCTGTGTCAGCCTGTTTAAAACCAATATAGATACGCAATGCATTATTAAATTTTGCCTTATGAGTGAAGCAATTCCAAAAAGAACAACGTACTTACACACATGAAATTTCAAATCTCTTGTATGATACAAAATACCAGCCTGGAATGATTTCATTCTGCAGCGTGAACTGTGAAGTGACTGAATGTGCCCTCTTGTGGTAGGCAACAGAGTAGTTTAGACACTCAAAGTACCTTAAAATATTTTCCATGACAATAAACTTTCCCAAAAGCAGCGTTTATATGTAGGTATGTTAGTGGAATTTAATTTTTAAGTGAAAAGTAGTGTTTAATGTTATAAACAAAAAGTGCTATGTAAATTGGTTATCCTAGAAAAGTTTGCAGTAACGTAGTTCAAAGTATTTCAGCAAAATTTTAGATGTGATACATCACTGATAGCTTCAGCATTTAGACCACAAAAATAAAAACAAACAAACAAAAAAAAGAGCTGAAAACCTGTATACTTATCCTGAGGCCTAGGAAAACCACTGTGGATTATCTAACCCTTTCTCTGCACTACCCTGCGCCTCTGAGTAACAAATTTAACTTCTTTTTCATTCGTGGAATGGGCATACCCATTCATCATTTTTGCATTGGTATCTTAAGGATAACTGTTGTTCGTGGGATTTTGAAGAAAATTAAGTGCCAGGCATCTTTTTGTCCCCACAAAATAACGTGACCAAAGAGCTGTATTAAGGGAACACGTTAATCCATCTACCAATGTAAGTGTTTTTAGACATTGATGTCCATTCAGAAAAAAGTAATTTTGTAGTAGAAAACATTGACAGTACGTATGTATTGAGCCTTTTTTTCTTTACTTGTTCAAGTATATAGCGTAGAACAAATGCACCACAAAACTGAACATCTCCCTTCAGAGTATTAGATTCCTGGCTAATCGCTTTGATCCTTACATGTAACTCAGATATAACTATGGCTCTTGCAGATTTACAAAAATATTTTCTTCAACAGATTTACTCAAAGAATCTTTTTTGACAAGCATATGTGCTGTCACACAAAACTACTCCGACTTAGCAAGCTGGGGATCCATTATAGCCATAACTTTCAAAGTATATTAATACAGACACATATATGGCTGAGTGAAATATGCTCAGAAGTGTTTTGGAACAAAGCACGCACAAGAATTTTGTAGCATGAAAGAAAGTTTTCTTTTCCCACTATTTATAGCACTCTCCTCTAGAAGTATAAAAAAGGCTGAAATAGGATCTTCTCCTTCAAATAGTAACTCTGTTCTCTCTAAAATTCAACCGCTGCTGCAGTGTAGACATCTCTGCAGCCATGAGCAATCGCTCTGCATTCTCCACTTTGGGTGGACTTTGGTCTACATGCTGCCACACCTCACACAGGACAGAGGGAGCAGCAGTCCAAAACCGATCCAACCAACTCTAGAGGTGGCTTGAAAGTCCTCAAGAAGATTAAAACTACTTTTGAACACAGTCAAAATAGGTTCAATATTAGTAGCTTGGCACCTTAGCATCATTCAAGATATATGGGTATCTAGGAAAAAAAATGTACCCTTTTGCCTATAATATTTTAAAAAAAGATTTTCAAAAGTCACTGAATGGGCATACCCAGTGTGCATCCTGCCACAGCGACAGGAGCAGGCTCTTTACAAAATGCAATGACAGACCAAAACTTTTAACTGTGACCAGAAGTGATGCCTCTCATTTAAGTAACAGCCTAAGCACTACACCCCTTGCCCAGCAGGTGTGACACTAATGTACAACACACCTCTTGCCAGGCTGACAGCACTACAACCTGTACCTTTCCCCTCCTTTGTCAGCGCCCCACGACACAAACTAGTGTGGGACACTCCGTGCTCCTAATCCTGTGGAAATTAAGCCTCCACGCAATGAAGAACCCACAAACCACTGGTGCAAGAAACACAAACGGGAATCTGACTCAGTGGCCTTGTGGTTGAGATGTTTAGTTTGCAACAGGAAGAGGTGAGCTCCAATTGCTGTTCCCAGGACTGTTTCAGTCCTCATCCTTCACACATCACTGCATAATACCGATAAAACAGTCTTGAGACCAGGGAACTGAACTTGTTACGTTGTACCAGGATAATATTTAGTTGCCAGAGTAACCTGCTGTTCAAAATTTTTATCTTTAACTAATGTTTTAGGGACTACAGGTTGAAAAGTAAGAAATCAAGCGTTCCAATACTTTTCATAAGCTCCCATACAACAACAAAATAACTCTGAGAAGTGAAAATGTCCCTGTTCATGCTGATAAACTGTTGACCCTGAAATGTAAAGATGACAATCTCTGGCAAACTGAAAATGGGATGACCGTATAAAACAAACTAAATAGCTCTGACATAGTAAACACAGTAATCTTCTGATATTCACAATGTTTGTTATTATATTTGACTTTATTTTTAAATAGAAGTTTGTATACATCTGAAAGCTGCTAAATATTTCCACCAGAATGCTCCAGAATCTAGGGACCTTGCCCCAGAATTTAGGTTCAGCTTGCTACACAGTACACAGGCCTTTGGCTATACCAGTCACTGGATTTTAAAATCAATTATTTTCACTTTAAGAACACGCTTCAGGGGGGAAAAAGGCAAAATATTCGGTAAACAGCAAATGAAAAGACAGAGTTCTAGGACTTACTTCTAACTTA